GGAGGGTGTCACGTATCTGGCTGCAGAGAGCCAATCAGCTGCCTGCCAGAGCCCAGCAAGTGAGAGAGACGACAGTTGCATGTTAGCCTCAGAGGAGGCAGGTGGTAGATTAACTATGTTGTAGGAGCGAGGTAGTGCTCCGAGTTTACCATTATTCTTTGAACGTTAATTTTTAATAATTGTTTGTTTCATTTTCCTTATGGTGCCTTATTCATCCGTAAGGTCATTACAGGGTGTTTCAAATCCAATTAATTTTTTTGAATTATTATTATTTTTTGATAAACTGCTTGTTCTTCATATTGTTACTGAAACTTCCCCTGGGGGTTGAATTCTTGGGTAGTACTGGCTAGGATCTGTACTTAGGCAGTCTCAACCACAGGGTATATAATCAGTCTTCACAGGACTAAATACCTCATTATTTCGGAGATTGGTTCGGGCTTGGCAAGGACTGTACTGGTACTGTCGTGTCTATTCCTTCGGCTGCTGTGAAGCTAGATTGAAGATCACTGACCACGTCCTCGCGGCTTTGACTTCATTCAGTTCTCATGGGTGGGTGGACTGACAGAGTGGACAGAGCACCCAGCAGATGATTATCGAGCCGATGGAGTGGTGTTCAAAGGCAATGGTGACTCATGTGTTTTTTAATAGTATTATGTGTTTTTTGCAAGCATTCAATTTAATGCTTTGTATAAAGCTGGAAGGGGACTGCGGGGGCTCCCCCTGCTTGGACGAAGATCTCTGGACCATAGGGATATTACAAGCCCGTAAATCTATCTACCTAGTCAGGCATCCAATCCGTTCAGAAGAAATATATGTTTTTTTAGGTATACTGATTTCACAAGGCATAAAACTGAAACCTAATATCACACTTTACTGGTCTAAAAATAAATTGAATGAAACTCCATTTTTTTTTTTTTTTTTTATCAATTTTACTACACAAACATCATTTTTATTACTGCACTTTTACTCTAAACATTAAATTTTGTATTTCCATTTTTTCTTATATTCTTTATTTTGTGAAAGTGAACAGTTTTTAGACAGCAAAACTTGCACTTATCCCCCCCCCCCGAATACATGGCCTAACTATGCATGTCTGTGTAAAAAAAAGGTGGCACTGGGGGGTGAATCTTGTGCATTTTCCATGGCAGTTAAAAGGTTAATATTCTATCATATAGATTTTACAATTTGAAAATTAATAGAATTAAGTAACGCACTGCCATCATGAGCTTAACATGAATCAGAACGCTGCAGTATTGTAGTTATAGCAGTCTTTCATAGTCTAAAATTATTGATATTCTGGTACACTTTTGAACAATAGAAATTCTGTTTTGTTCTTATTTCTGGCCATGGTTTACCCTTACTTGAAATACACTAACTCTGTTGCTATAGCAACTGCCAGACACAGTACCAGTATCTCTTCTTATGAACAAGCAGTACCTACTTTTCTCCCTCGACCCCGCACTCTTCAGCATCCCCCTGTATGTTGCGGAGTTGGTGATTTGTAGTTATCTGTGCGTGCTTGTAACTGTCTCATCTTGCACTGCCATCAGCCATGGTGAAAATCTACTTATTGTTTTACTTATTCTGAGGTTTCGCTAATACACAGTTTTATTGTTTTTTTATTAGTATATGTTTTCATAAAGATACTATTTGATATTCATTTTTCTCCACCATTTCAAATTGTAAAAGAACATTAAACGAAGAAAACAGAACATTTAATGTAAAGTGGGATTATTTCTTTACATTGTGGAAGTAAAAATGGTGTGTTTATTGTGCAATACAGTTTTGACTACTTTGAAAAAAGTGAAGGCAACATAAATAAACACTATTTGACTCATAAAGATCATAAGTATTTCAATTTAGAAGGTGAATCTCACCAAAAATTGTAAAATGGAAAGTATCATCAATAGCTGTCTTTTAATGCTTTTGTAAAGAAAATACTACTGCAGTTGCTGTTACTTACAAAATAGCACATATATTTTGAAAAAGAAGCAGACCATTTGGTGATATAGAAATAATTAAAGAATGTATTGCTGAAGCAGTATTTATATTAGATCCCAAAAAATTGATAAACCAGGAACAATTGCCTCTTTCGTATACAATACAAAATGAAGCTGTTTATTTTTCAATTGCTTTAGATGAAGGCATTGATAAAAACTGATTCGGCACAAGTTTTATATTTTATTCACTGTAACTGAAGATTTTCAATGCTAACTGGAAAAACTGGTGTTGACATTTTTGAAAACTTCAGAACTTCAGAGAAATATGTCATTAATTACAATTAAATGTCAGCAATTTAGTCATTATCTGCACCGATGGCACACTCACATTCATTGCTTTCTTAAAAACTCGAAAAAATTTATATCATTTCATTGCATTTTGCATCAGCAAAATCTTTGTACAGAAATAACCATCTTGCAATGAACAATTTTGATTGTCAAATTGCGTAAATGCAATAACATCATCGTGAATTTCGGCAGATGTTTAATTTAGATGGGGATACATACAGTGTTAATCTATCATACTACTGCAAGGTTTGCTGGCTATCAACAGGATAGGTTTTGATAAAAGTTTTAATTTTATGACAACAAATTTTAAACTTTTATCATGGACAGGAAAAACTATGTGACCTATCAGATGAAGCATTTTGCAGAAATATTACATGTTTGTCTGATATTATGACATAACAAAACAATTTAAATATTTGCCTGAAAGGTAAAATGAAGCATGCATATGAAATATGGCAAAAGATTCAAGCATTTCAAAGAGAATTAATATTTTTATAAACATTGCTCTTTTGCTCCGATATATCTGCAGAACACATCCTGGAGTTAGAAAAGTGTTGAATGAGCAAAAACGTAAGAATAAAATAATCGAAGAATATATAGGTGTCTTGGATTTTTTAATAGAAGAATATAATGACAGATTTTGATACATTTCTGCTATGAAACTGGCATTTAAACCACATTTAATAGATATATTAAAAAGCTTCTACGGAACAACTAATGGAATTATTTGAAATATGGAAAGATAGAATTTTCAAATCGCTTTCTGACGCTAAAAAGGATCTCATAGAAATCTGGAAAAATGCTGTTGAATATCCATGCCTATGACAGCATGCACACCATTTACATTCCTGCTTTGGAAGTACTTATTGCTGCGAGTCAACATTTTTTCCTCATGATAAAAATTAAAACTAGTTAAAGAATGCAAATTAAGTTGCTCATTTAGAAGATTTAATAAGGCTGCATGTTCTGAAGCTTAATTCAAATATACAATTACTTTCAGGTAAGAAACAAACACAAATATCCCACTAAATTAAATTTTCCATTGGATTTTAACATTATTTTACATACTGTTGCTATGTTGGTTTTTTATAACTTAATATTTCTTGCATTAAATCTACCTGAATATTATTTCATTTAGTCATTCTCACCTCTAAAATAAATCTGACTCTATTCCACAACTCCTGAAAAGAAATATTTAAAATAAACTATTACATTTTCTTGCTTAAGAAAGCCAAAGATTTATTTCATACATTTTTGCACTTAAGGAAATCAAAAAAAAAAATTATTATTCTAATCTTTCTTACTGTTGCCGAAAAATAAAAGGAAAACAACAACCATTGAATATTATTGAAAAATATAAAATTATGGAGCTTGCAATAATATTCTTACTTTTTTATTGTTTTTCTTTATAATGTAATAAATTTATTGAAAAATACTTGATTATTTTTATTTTGAAATAATATTTAAATATATACAGTCGCTTATTAAAAGTTATTAAAGATTAATATATAAAGTTTATGTGAATATAAGAATATTTTATTTTGTAAATTTATATTGTAATAAATGACTTAATGTTGTTTTTGGCATTACTTCTATATAATGCAATAAATAAAGTCAACTATACAAAAACTATCATAATTTTACAAAAGTCGCATTTATTGGCATATTAACTTATGCAGCCTCTTTTCCCTGCCAAATTTAAATGTGGCCTCTAATAGTAAAAAGGTTTCCCACCTCTGTTATGTAATATATTAATGAGCACTTTTCCATTGCTCTGTGACCATTTCAAAATACAACTAGACTATCAACATTTTACTCTCATACTCAAGTGACAGAAAGTGTACTGTGAATGTACAGTACAGAACCATGCACTAAACAACACAAAAATTTCCCATGCATTATTACTCTATGCTGATAATGTCTTCAAAATGCATAATTTTTCAGTTTTTTCCATATTTGTATATGTTAAATTTTTTGTATACAGTTAGATATTAAAAGTGTTTTTTCAGATCTGCAATAGGTTCTTAGAATGAGGTAACAGAGCATTAGTGCATTCATTTTCACATTGTTTGGCAATTTTTTACTGGCAGTTTGGTGCATCACTGCAAAATTTATTCATTATATGTATATTTTATTACAAACACATTTTACCTAGGTATTTATTTCAAAATCAATCAATAGACCAATTTACAAATGGATTTCTTGCCCCCTTTTTTTGTTTGTTCTGAAAGAAATCTTGAATAGATTATTTTGAAAATAAATTCAAGCAGTTGTTTTCTTTAGTGATTTTGTGGTAAAATTATGCATTCCTGAAGAAATTTTGATGCAATTTCGTCCACTGCAGGCACATTTCTATAGATCCATATTTTAAAATTGAGTTTAAGACAAAATATATTACCATTTACCTATAAAAATCATTAGAACTTGGAATAAACAAAAAGAATGCATATGAAATGATAACATTGCTTGTTAGAACTAAGGAATTGCTACACACATTGTTGCCAGATTTTGGCACATTCTAAATTTCTTTTAACTTTTAGTAAAGTAGTTGCACTTATATGCAAGCATCTAGAATGAAAACCTACGGCTACACAAGCTACACGTATAGCTTGAAGTATTTATATATAACTTGAAATTTATCTTTACGTTTATCAATTGCAAAGTAACTATTTCATAATTAAAATAAAAAAAGACAGAAGCACAAGATCTTACTTGGTATTAATTTCAGATACAGCATATAGGCTCAGAACATATTTGGTATTTTTATCATGCAAGTGATTATTGGTCAAGTTTCTATAAATTCGTAACTCTGCTCCAACTATTTCTTCATCTTGCAAAGATGTTTCAGTCATATCAAACCAAAATCGTCTGTCTCGTTCATGTCGCAAGTGAGGATATTGATGATGAACTATATTGCAAAAAAAGTAAGATAATATTAAATTATATTTTGCATGCTACCTGACACAGACAATGTAACACTATAAAAATAGGAGTGATGAAAATTAACTGATAGATAGAGAATGCATACAAAAATAAGCGACTTTAAATTTTAAAAGAATAATGCAATACAGCAATCAAATAGTCAGGGTGATCAGTAGGAAGTAGGACCATCTTTATGGTGATACAAGTAGCAAATCTTTGAAGTACAAATGAAAATCAGCATATGGATACAGTCCTGAGAGACTGGTAACTATATGCCATCCTCCATAGATCATTCCCTGATTGAAGCATGCACAAATCAAACAAATAATGGCTAAACATATCCCACAAATGATAGATCAGTTTGAGATCTGGAGAACTCAGTCAGAAAAGCATTGGGATTCACTGCAAAGCTGTCTACAGATAACTGTTGCATTTAGTTATACATCTTGCTGAAATATAACATTTTGCAACTACAAGTACATTAGTGTAAACACCTGCAGCCCTTCAATCATGCATTATCATGCTATCATCGTACCTCTAACAAAGCAGAGATTACTGGCTATCCATGACAATGCACACAGAACAATGAGACTGCACTGTTGAACAGCATTCAACATGGGCTGGATATGGCAATGCACCCTGAGCAAAAAGACTGCACAGCATTCAACATGGTTCAACAGGATTAGACCCCTCTTCACCCTATAAACTCTTACTTCGGAACTGTCATTTGCAAAATAGTACTAGTAGCAAAACTCATCACTGTAGACTACCTGGTACTATTCAGTTGTCTACAACACTCTGCCCTATCATCATTGTAAATATTGCTGTTGGTAACGTAATGACAATTTTCATTAAGGATAGCATGATAAATGTCACTTTCAGCTTATCTACAAACTGTTCTTGCTTACACTGGAGCATGCAAAACTCTATGACAGTTGTGTTTTCTGAGGCCTCCATCACATAGCTTCAGATGCATTGACCCAAGTGTGCTAATGTCTATCTAGATACACCAATATAACTGCCACAATTCACATTCTTTTCTTTAACTCATCTTCTTTAAATTCTTAGCACAGTGGATACACGTAGGTGTGTTTCAACTGAGACATGAAGGAAGAGCCAGCGAGCCTTTAGTAGGATTAAAACAAAACCTCTCATGAAAATATTTCATTGGAGAATCTGACTTTGCCATGGTCTGTCAAATATCTTTTTAGCTATGTATTTCTTTTGAGATAAAAAGCAGTTCAAAAATGGATTTTCCATCATGGCAGAGAGTACTTTAATAGTTGCTGATTCATTTATTATTTCCATTTCTTTTAGCTTAATAAATTACTACATGACAAATTAAATTAGCCAATCATTTACATATATTGTTCAGCTGCATAGTCCTTGTAATTTGTACGATTATCATGTGACAAACGTTCATTTCAGATCATTTACATAAATTGTTCAGCTGCAAGACAGCCAAATCTTTCATGGTACTGATTTTCTATGTCAGATACTATATATTTAGTATAATACATTATAATAAAAAATAATTAATCTTTTAGTTATTAAAAAAGGGGGAAGAAATATAATAAGCAAATAAAATTATTCGTAACTATTTCACATATAAAGTCAAAAATATGATATTATTTAAAATATGATGAAAACTAATTAAAAGAATAATTATACTGAATTCATATACATGACAATGCAATCATTATGAAGATGTGCCATCAATTACAGTAGATATAAACGCTATTGCTAACTGGTAATTTAACATGCATGAGGTGAGTTTTCATCATGAAATCTTCACAAAGATATATAAGCAAATTACTTTAATATGCTATTACCCAGCAAATTACTTTAGTATGCTATTACCTACAGTAATTACCCAGTAAATTACTTTAATATGCTTTCCATAATCAAATAATGTAATACCAAACAAAAATTGTCTGAAAGACAGAAATTATGGCTGTGTATCAACTCATTGAGGTGTCTCAAAAATTAATATTCTGGAATAATTATAGCAGCTAACTGGAAGTTCCACAACTCTTGGAAATCAAAAATTCATTAAGTTAGACAGTGAAGTGATTTTAGGATATCATTATATACACTCTTTTGGGAAAAAAAAAAAAAAAAAAAAAAAAAAAAAAATTGAAGCACTAAGAAGGACTCGATCGTGGCGAAATTTGGTATGCAAAAACATCTTGATCGAACATGCAAATGAGCAAAGTTTCAAGGCAAATGAACAGGAACTGCAATCATAACCCAAATTTCTAGTGCGCAATTCACAAAGTATAAAACCAGCAACAGAGGCAGAAAATTTATCTTTTTTCGTTGCTGCCATTGTAATTCTGTAAAGAAGCAACTAAAGATGCCATTATGATGATACCGAAAACCTTACAGACAACTAAACGACTTTGAACGTGGTTGCATTGTAGGGTTGCGTGAAGCCGGGTGGTCATATCGAGCAACAGGCCACCACCTGCAGTGTATAAACACTGCTGTGCAAAGATGTTGGTAGCAATGGTTGCTACAAAAAAATTGCTGCTGGAAGGCCAAGGATCACAAATGCGAGGCAAGATAGGATGATTGTTCGTCAGGCCCGAACCGCTCCCAAGGTAAGGATGATTGTTCGTCACACCCAAACTGCCCCAATGGCATCATGGTCAACTATTCAATGCACTACAACCCTGTCTATATGTCTCATGGTGCCATCCACCATCTCACGGCGCTTGTGTGAGGCAGGGTTACGCTCACAGAGGCCTTTAAGACGTTTGCCTTTGACCCCACAACATTGGCGGAGTCGTCTGGAATAGTGTCGCAGTTGATCATCATGGCTGCCATCAGAGTGGCATTGTATAGTGTTCGGCAATGAATCCCGCTTCACTCTTGAAGCAGATGACCACCGTGTTTGTGTTTGGAGAGGACAGGGGCCAACAATCCAAATCAGCCTTTCTTTTACAAAGGGATACAGCCATAACATCTCGTGTGATGGTGTGGGGCGCTATTTCTTATGACAGCAGATCATCTTTAGTCATATTCCGTACATCTTTAACAGCTTAACGATATGTTGATACCATCCTGCAGGTGGTTGCATTAACCTTCATGGCACGTCATCCCGGGGCCTTTTTCCAACAAAATAATGCCAGGCCACATACTACTTGCATATCTCTGGACTGTCTCTACGCGGTTGATACTCTTCCTTGGCAACAAAGGACACCTGACCTTTCACCAATCAAGCATGTCTGGGACATAGTAGGCCGCCAGATTCGGGCACCACAAAATATTGCAGATCTGGAGCGACAACTGATGAATACCTGTGTCACAAGATGACATTAGGAACCTCTACTACTCCTTGCCTCAACAAATTCAAGCATGCATTGCCGCCAGGGGCAATTCGACCACCTACTAATTTGAACACTCAATGATTGATTGTGAGCCATGAACAGGTACTATGACCTTGATGTTTTAATCATTTTATTATCTGTGTATGAGCTATACACATATTCAATTTTATCAAAAGCAACCACTTCCTTCATGGTGCTTTGATATTTTTGAAAAAAAAAAAAAAAAAAAAAAAAAACGTATAAAAAGTTATTCAGTTTCCTGTTGATAAAAGTTAATTTTCCCATTCTTAGTTCTGTTATACCACCGCAAAATACAACAGAACATACTTTACCAGTCACAGTTATTTACATAAAGTTGCTTTTGTGTTTTACAATCAAAATAATTCAAATCTAATATGTAGTTAAAAGGAAATATTTCTTAAACTAAGAAAGTTAATACAATATTACTATACAAATTTTGGCTAATCTTTGGAATATGGTAAAGAGTAGTTTGGTGACATTTTGGAGGTGATAAAGGTTACTACCTAGGACTTTGGGAATAATGTGAGAAGTACTCAGTTCCGATTACTCATTATTTTGTGTGAGGGAAATGAGAGATCATGAGATATGTCATGTGACATTGATGGACGAATCACCGTTCTTTAATCGGAAAAAAGGGGTAAATTTGTAAAAATATCTGCTGTACAGCATTAGTTTCATTCTATGTTCTGTGAAACAGTGTTATTTAATATTTGGATCCCATGGCCCTATATAAAGTAAATCCGAAATTTTTATTGCATTTATGTGTAATTGAAAAGAATTGCTTAATTGCGGATAAGTATGAATGTCCAACATGTGGGTATGAAATGAGATTGTGTGAAAGGAAGGATATTACAGATAAGTTTGAATGGCGGTGCAAGAAATCTGGTGAAAATGGACATTTTGTGATCCGCCATGCACTCAAGATTCTGTAGAAGATTAGGTAAGTTAGTATTTTTAATTATTTGAGGATATTATTTTTATGCATTGTTCTAAATGTAAGGAGTAAATAAATTAATATGGTATTATTGGAAAATTGTTATTAGCAATGATTTGTTTAAAGTAATTAGGATTGCAAGCTAATTTTTATTAATTTAATGTATGTGCTTATTTATATTTTAAGTATGTTTTTAATTTAATTATCGTGATTTTGAGAGTTATATTTTGGAATACGTTTGAGTAGAAGTAAACGTGCATGGAAAGAATTTAAGTATTGACACTAAGTATTTGGAACCATTTTTATGTTTGCGTTAGAAATTGGCAGGGGAGGTTTATAATAGATAATTTAGAGCGAAAAGTTTTTGGATATTTTATTTATTTTATACCTGCAAATGTTCATCCTTGGAAAGGGTATATAATTTTTCGCGATCAGGTAATTTTATATATGTGCTTTTTACCGAATTTAAAGATTCACAAAATTTTCATGCATTTTCGTGAAATTTTTCTAATTTATGAAAAAAAAGCAGTGTGTGTAATGCCATTTTTGTGCAATTCTGGGATGTTTTTTTAAGTAAAAATAAGTTGACGTGTACATGGTTACTGTGTATGTGCGATTTTGAAAAACGCGGCAAGGAGTTTGCGATTCTGCACTTTTTCCCAATTTTGCAGTTAATATTTGTCATGATTACGCAGTTTTGTTCCATAAAATTTCTAGCATAAGTGTAATTCGGCTAATAGATTGTTGAGTAAATAAAAAGAAAAGAAACATGTCTTTACTTTGTGAAAACAAAATGGCAGCGAAAAAAAAATAGAGGGTTGCTGTAGCAGAGTTGGTCGCCAAAAAATTGCCAAATTACCATAATCCAAAGATTAACCCAAATCATTTTAATCACTTGATTGGATCTGTTTTATTTACCAGCAGCTTGCTGCAAGAGTAACTCCAGTAAACTTCCGTGCATTAACTTTGCATTTTATCATAACATATTCATACAAAGCCCACAGGAGATTCATTTGATATACATTTTTTTTTAGAATACATATTATTTAGTTCTTTTATAAAAGATTTAGTCTTCAAGGTATGAAAATGAATTCCGGTTTCTGAATGCTTATTACTTTTGACAATTTTATGCACTTAAATTCATGGTACAGATATTCCAAAGAAATTATTTATAACCTTACTTTGGTTGTAAGCATTACTCATGTATTATTTTTTAATTAATAATGTTCTTATTATACCTGGCATATTCTTTAAATGGCTTAAAATGATTTTTTTTTCATTCACTTATAACTGTATCAATAAAATACCAAAAGTTAATAAATTATTTATTTTTTGAAAGCTGGACAGAGACACATTTAAAATTTTTCCTGTATATATTAACAGATTTATAACGAATGAGAGAAAAATAAAACAATACTATTAAATTTTAGTTAAATCTATGACCAAAAAAATTTAAACAAATAAAATTAAAGAATTTCAATTATTTACAATACTATACTTCATTTTAATTTAATATTCCGTAAAGAATTTCAGTGTTTTAATGTTTATAAAAGATATATTTGTCGATATTAAGCAAACATCAACACTAATATCAAATCTGAACTTTTGCTATTATCACTTTGATGTGTCCTGCATGTTATTTTAGTGATGTTTTAAACTATGATACAAGTCAGAAATGCATATTCCATTAGCTAACCATGAGAATCAGTGAGTAAAAGTTCTTACTCAATTTTTTTTACAAAACAAAGAGCATGACAAACTTTTAAATACGATTTTATAGAAAAAGGGATTTTGAAAATTCACGCTTTTGGTATTATTAAGCGGTTTCTAAAGTCAGGTAAAGTCTACCTTTGACTGGGCTAATTTTTGATAATTATATAGTTAGTGAGTTCAGGCATTGGGTCCGTTTTGTTAAAAAGAGAGAGACAATCAGCTTTTTGTAATCTGTTTATTCATTATTTTCTCAAAGAAATCGTCTCCTCCTTCTTCATTTTCCCCCCCGCCACCCAAAAGAAATGCGTTCCTCTGTATCGCGATTACAAAAGGTCTGGGAAACGCTGATTTAATAGACTTTTGTTTATCATAAAGAATAGCACCTACCTTTGTTAACAAAACTTACGATGAAATCTGTGTCTTTCAAAGCACCATGACTTCGATTTTTTGTAGCATTAGCTAAATTCTCGTGCAAAACAGCATTATCTTCCTCCAGAGTTTTATAAACATCGAGTAGGTATTTTGGCGCAGAACTGTATATATCATGATTTCTAGGTTTGGGCCTATGATCTAGTCCCAATAAGTGAAGAATTTCTTCCTCAAGCTCATGTTTTTCTTCCTCTCGTAAAGGTTCATATAAAATACTTTGTTCACGTCCATTGTCTGCATAAAAACCTCCCGACATTGCCGAAACTACATTACAAAACAAAATAAAATTGTATAATGTGACGATTAAAACAAAAACATAACGATTGGCTGCCATTTTGCTGAAACGAAAAATAACGTCATAGAAAATATACCGATCTAAAGAAACATAACAGCAAACAACAGGTCCTCCTGATCGCTTTATTCACGTGTAAGGTATTTACTTATACCTTTAAACTTCGCTTTGAAATTCATGCCCTCCAGGTACAAAACAGTTTTCCTGGGAAAGCGAGAAAATGTCTCGAACAGGAAAGAACAAGATTCTGTAATGTGCTGCCATCTAGTGACGAATTCAGAAAAATATGCATAAGTTGGGAAAATATCAGATAAGCTTTATGGAATTGGGACTATTATATCTTTGAGAAGATTTCTCAACCACGGAATTCCCCTATAGCAGGAGATAATTTTATAGTTTCAAGAGGGAAATGCCGTCAGTCTGACTCCACCTGTCTGAATAAACGTATACGTATGTTTCGAATTTTGGAAAGACGTGATGAATAATCTAGCAATGGTGAAAGGGATACATGAGATAAAAGAGGTTAAGAACCACTGTCTTAGCTCCTAGTAACTTTTCCGTATTTTGGATATGTGCATATATGAAAGTTTCTCGGTTACAAAAAATGAAGTAATGATTGCAATCACTTTTTATAGCAACCTAATGTCTTCAGAAAATGATAACATTGATTTTAAATCTCTAATTTACATCTCAAATCTAGATAACTATCTCACATTATTTAAATTCAGTTTACTCTTGGCAAAAGCACTCCAGCGAAAAAGGCAAAGCGATTAGTGCATCACTAATAAGAATAGATTACTAGAGACAGTAACTGAGTATGAGGAAATTTTAACTAGGGATCTGTAGGTATGAAAACAGAGAAAGAAGAGCCCAGAGCATTCTGACTACGAACTCCTGCTGGTGTAACTCTGGTGTCATGTGAAAAGGGAAAAAAATTTTCCTCGAATCCGAAGTTAGTCGAGAACAAAAAGTAGGGCTTTGTGCAAGTGACAATTTTCGCCACCCGGATTTGATTACATCGTTCCAAAAAGTGTCTAGGTCAGTCAGAGTCGTAGCTAGGGTTTTCAGCGCCCAGGGACAACTGAAGATTTCGCATCCCCTACTGCTTGCCAAGGATGGAAAACATTTAATTCTAAAATGTCGTAACATCAGTTTGGAGCCCCTTGGATTCTGTGCCCGGGGACAGATGCCCCCCTTGCCCCCCTCTAGCTACACCCCTGAGGTCAGTTGGAAGTCATTAGCGATGGACGTGTATGACACCAGGCTGATCTCTTATACAACCTTCGAGAAAGGAAAATTTCCCCCTTTTACAAATTCCTTGAGTTTTCTTGAGACAGACAAATCATCAAATGTGAGATGGTTTGCATTTGTGATGGAAACATGACAGCTTTGTGCAGCCCATGTATTTACTTTTCGGTGATAGAACTGGGAACAAACCATCAGTATTTAGAGGGGCTTACTTGACTGCTGACAGGCTGTCAGCATAAAGTTTTAATTCGAATTAAGATATCACCCTTCCGATAAATACTCTGGAGTGTGAAATTATAGTAACGCAGTATTTGCACCATTATTCCGAAAGCAAAATTTTTTAAACTACTGTAAAATACACAAATATGCGCATACATAAGCAGATACATAAAGGAAAGATTTACAGATTGTTAAAGAGTTAGAATTGCCTAAATGCAGTAAACGTTGTGAGTGAACCTTGGATGAGAAGGGCAGGAGAAAAAGGGCCATTATGGCTAATATATCCCTGAAAATCATCTTGGTTTTTGTTTCCTGGCGAACGATTATTTTCCCATTTGTACAGGGAATGCATTGCAGTTTCCCTTAAAAAGTTCTCCATCAAGGTACCTTTTCTTAAACAGACAACAATCGCGTACCATATAGTATTATTTTCACTTTTATTTCATGTATATCTTTTCTCTAAGGGCTGTGGATTTCGCATAGAAGAGTGGCTTTCCTATTCATTACGCATAAAAGTGTTTGCCAGCTTCTAATATATCCGATTTGGGGTTGGATGCATATTGGAAGAAAATGTTCAGAGTGAAGGTACAAAGTGAGAGAGCAGTTTTGGAATTAAATCAAGAAAATACCATTTATTCAAGAAATATTTAGGAACTTTGAAATTTTAGGTTCATGCTCGTAATGTTCGAAAAATTAAGATTTTGGCATTTTATTTTGTGCAGTTTCCATGACACTGATACTAGTTTTACAGTTACATTTTTATTTAATGGCAAACTACGTGTGTAGGGATGGCATCTTTAATTTCATAAATAATTCAATTAAAAATCTCTTACTAAGTAAACAGAAACATATTTGGTGGGCCAGATGTAAGTAGAAGTATTAATTTCAGATCAAACTACTTCCTGAAGATGCTAGAATATCAAAATAATAAACCGCTGAACCAATTTTTAACTAATTTTTTTTAAAAAAAGGAAATTTAATTTTGAAAAACTTTTAATTTGGAAGCTTTTTTACTGCATACTGTCATTCTCAGCTAAAGGATACAGTGTTTTTTCACCTGTTATTAAATTGAATTATTCTTAATTTTTCGGCTTTATTTAAAATTTTGAACTGTAATAAATGTTGATAAATAGGTGTTTAATGGATTCAGTGACTTCTTCCAAACTTCGAAGAAAGATCTGACGAACACGATTAGATGTAGGAAACCATTGTATGTTATTTTGATGAGCATGAAAAGGTAGGAACAAACAAAGAGATATAATAAATTCACTGATATTTATGAAAACATGATGGATTTAAAAAAATTGTTTTTATTGCTATATATTAGATTTAGAACTTAACGAATTTTTTTCGTAAATATTCGAGAAATACAAAGGGGAACTAAAAATATTTTCCTTTGGATTATGAATTGTACTCGATTATCTAACAATATGTTTATATTAATCCCTTTCGAAATTCATGACTATGAGATAGAAGTTATTATATAAGTCCATTCAAACATATTTGATAGTTTAAGACAAAGATAATAGATTCAGGTTAGTTTGCAGAATTTTGAGCAAAACTTTGACACCGATTTATGAAACTCCGTCCTTAACGACAAAGGAGCTTGAATAAAATTCTCCTCTTTTGTGTAGCATTGCGACCATAACTTTTAAAACGGTTTAAGTACGGCTACATGGTTTAAGGGATTTTAGAGTATCTATTTGTATATACAGGTAGCCCTTCTACAACACGGCATCCCGTAACACGCTTTCTCTCTAACGCATTAAGTCAATTGCCCAAGCAATCCAAAGAAATTTAATGAATTTCGCACGAAGATTTTCCATATTGAGCAAAGCACACATATAGTCATTTAACACATAAGATTCCTCTTTTTCGTAAATTGTATCAGCTCTCTTCCAAGATCCGGTACCAGTAAAAACAAATGTCCTCAGGAAGATGAGCCACGGTGTGGAGAGCGATCGGTAACGGAAGAAAATCGTTTCCTTCCATGACCTTCAAAGCACAATTGCACAGCAGAAAAAATACCCAGTCTCAAGAGAGCAAAATCACCAGATAACAATGAAGAAACCTCACTTTCGCTGAAGGTGAACAATATGAGGTCACAATAAGTGCTCTGAAACGCACAACCTGCATGTTCGGTTTTCCAAAATTCGAATTCTTATCTCTGTGGCCTGAAAACAAAAGTGTCTCACGTTGCTGGTCGGCACTTTGCGCCTAGCCACGGTGAGTTAAAGAATAAGTTTTTCATCTTTAAGACATTACGTTTCAGTCCCAAATCTGTTTGATAAAGATAAAAAGCAATGCTTAAGAAGAAATTCATTTGTTTAGAAGTAACGCTATAAATTTTGGACCGTCGTTTAAAAGGAGAAAAGGCATCTCACTTTGGAAAAAGTTTTAATTTGAATGAAGCAATAATCCGGACTATTAAGAAAAATGAAAAGAAATAAGAAATGCAGTTGCTGCAGGATCTTCGACATTCGAAAAACGTGTAGTTCGCTCCTCCAGGGCGGCAATAAATGAGAAGATGAAAAATGCACTCAGTATTTGGATTGATGATAAGTGTCAAAAAAGAATTCCGTTATTGGATGTTAATATCATTAGACAAAAAGCACTCAAAATGTTCAAGCAACTTAAAGAACATGGAGCATCCTCTGTCAATCCAGATTTTCTGCCAAGTAAAGGTTGGTTCGAAAATATCAAAAAGCGTCTTGCAACTCATAGCATAAGAATTCAAGGATAATATGCATTGGCTGATTATGAAGCTGCTAGGACTTTGATTATGTAGTTAAAGCTTGGCTTTTAAATTGTTTTCTGCCAGATGCTGAACGTTATTCAAGGCAGAAAAATTTGATCTTCAAGGCTCTCTATTATTATTAGATAATGCTTCATGTCAACCACAAGATTTGAATCATTCCAACGTCAAAATACTGTTCCTACCACCTAAACTACTTTTGTTAAAAGTTACTTCAACCAGTGGATCAAGGTATTATTTATTAAAACATATTACATAAGAAGAGCATTAGAATGGATTTTAGACGTAACCGATTCAAAATCAATCAAGGTAATGGAAGCTTGGAAGACATTTTCAAGCACTGTATCGTATGTATTGTGATTTCGGATTTTTGCATTTTCAAATTCTCTACACTTTTATCTTTCTAAAAATACCATCCTTTAATCTCTATGAAAATTAGAACTGTGAAAATTCTAGTTTTAATTTGTCATCGACTGCTTTGATCAATGAGGATTTTTACATAAAAACGCGTTTTTCTCCAAACGTGCTTTTTTTATACTCGATGTACCTTTTCTCAAGAACTACTGCTACTGCTCACAGGTACCTAAAATTTTTATGACTTATTTATTAGGTTTCATATTATTTACTGAAACGAGCTTTTTGTGATAAACTAAGGGGAAAAAATATTCAAATTTTTTTTGTGTAACAAAAGTGCTAAATTTTACTATGCCTAACAAAATATTCTGCAAATTACTCTAAAACTCAAAATGTTTAAAAAGCTCATTTCAGTATAATCAGATAGGTATACTTTAATTACACAAAAAATTTCAAGCGTGTATCTCCAGCAGATTTTGAGGAAAGGTACATCGAAAATGGCCAATTTAACATTGTCGGTATAGGGGTTGCTGATACCCCTTAAAACTTGCTAAATCAATTAGAGGCGAAGGTTTTGTCGACATGGCTATTGAGGACGATCAAGATTTATCAGCGGAAGAAGAAATTGACGAAGCAGATTTGATGGAAATGTCATCCGAAGCC